TTATAAAATAGCTCAACTTTAAGAGTTTGGGTTATATCGATAGGATATCATGGCTTCTGGAATTTTTGCCATCATAGTTATTGTTTTGTTTGTTTGTGTTTGATAAATTGAAAAACTTGTAGAGATTCATAAACAAGTAATTTGCAATTAATTGGTATCAAGAATAGAAACAAAAGATCAAAAGCACAAAGTGCTTAGGACTTCATTATGGCATCAACCATGGTGTGGTATTTTTTCTTTTGAGGAAACAATGATAACTAAAACTTCCTGCAAATTATCCAAGGTGTGAGCTCTCAACCTGATCCAACCAGCGCAAGTTGCATCCTTGTATGAAGTGTTGGTGGTTTATAGTAAAACTGCTAGATTTATCAGATAAATAGAAAAACCCATTGGTACAAAATAGGGATAAAATCACACTCTTTGTCACTTTATTATTTTTATCCTTTCTTCCTTTATTGTGAATATAAAAAATAATTTTAACACCCAATAACTTATATTTGTTTCTCTCTCTCTTTCTCTCTCTCTCTATATATGTGTATGTGTGTTTATATATATATATATATTCAGGGAGAGGAGTTTGTTCCCCATACCATGCCCATAACCTCAAACCCTCTTCACAATGAGATTTGATTCCACCTCTGCTACAATTAGACAGAGACCTCACCAACTAAGCCACTATCATTTGGTGCTTGCCTAATACATTGTTAACAGGTAATATGCAAGCATTGTACCAAACTAGTTAGGTTCTTCATGGACACTTCTGCAGCATTTATTGTGAAATGACATGCTTCCACAAATCATATATTAAAAATATGCACATGCTGGAAGTGGACATCAAAAGCATCACGTAAACATATATATTTGATGAGATGCCCATATCTTTTTGGATCATAAGAAACGGATAGTAAACATATATATTTGATGAGATGCCCATATTTGTGTCCCCATTTTCCACATATGTATCCATATTGGTATTCATACTGAAGTGCATCATAGAATGGAAGTCTGTTTAATCAGAACTGAATGACAATGACTTATTGGGGTGTCCACTATCTAATGTATTCCACTGGTGATTCCTTACAACAATGCTAGATATCGGCAGCTTTAACCATTTGATAATAGATCGATGGGAGTAATTTTGATGGGGATATTTTAAATTGAATGGGTCCCATGTGTATGATTTTGTTTTTTTTAATAAAAATGATTGTCACTCTTTTATTTATTATTTTTTATTTTTATACAGTGGGGCATGGGGGTAGTCCATCCCCCAACCATAACCCCTTATGTGTAGGTGAGATTTGATTTTAAGTCTCTGCTACGACTAAAAGAAAACCTTACCAACCCGCTAATTGGCACCTTGCACATGGAATAGATCTTTATGAATTTATAATATATAATTAAGTTATATAGGTTCCATTTGGGTTGCAGATAAAATGAATAGAACTAGATGATTTCTTGCCAAATGGTAGGTGACCCAGTTGGCATGTTTTATCAAAAATAAATAAATAATTTCAGGAAAATTGTTATTTATTCTAGTCCGTCTCTTTCTCTCATCTCTATTCCTTCTATGTAAAAATGCTTACACCACTCAACTAGTGGTGTAAGATAGATCGATATTTAAAATAATTAACTTCACATAATGTAAGTTTTTAGTTATGTTAACATAATTAATTAATAATTGTTAATTCACGCAGTCAAAAGATAATTATTAACTTCACGTAATATAAGTTTTTAATTAATAATATAATTCATTTATAAATATTAATTAAAATACTTAAAAGGCTTATACCATCATATCGACAAGACATGATATCGGAAAAACTTACACCATTAAGTGATAACTGGTATAAAGGAGGTGATCGATCACATGATATTCATTAAAAATCATAGGGGTGCTTTGATTGGTCAAACCCTATTAGTATCATGTCTTTCCTATCATAGGTTTTCCCAAAGTTAATTAACATAATTAAGTTTATTAAATTTATTTATTTAATTGATTAGCTTAATGTAATTAATTAATATTATTATTATTATTTAACCACACAAGTAAAAGACTCATATTAGCTCTCTCTCTCACACACACATGCACTTGTGCAAGGGGAACTACAATGAGGCTGAGCAGCTATTAGTTAAGTTCATGTTATTATGGTCAATTGGGCTTATGTGGTAAAAAAAGTTCCCTCTCTCTCAAATACATCATGTCACTTTACTCCCCTCTTTTCCTCAACTAGGTCCCATCGTTCCCCATCATGGCACCAGGTCTCGCACAAACCCCTCCTTTTCTCTCCTCTTAATTTATGCGTCCTCTCTCAATCCTCTTGTATCAGATGATACGGGCTAATACGTATCGATACTTTAAATCTTAATATTTATAATTTATTTAGGTAAGTGCATAAGTAAGTGTACTTATTCATATTCTTTTGATTTTTAGAGTTTAATAAAATGACATTTTTACCATAAAAAAATCAATATCAAAATGGGCAAAATTGTCACATAATGTTTTATAAAATCCCCCCCCCCACGTGGAAAAGTTACCTACCTAGGAGATGATTAAGTTTTATCAAGAGAAATAGAATTTATTTTACTGTAGGGCCCATTAATAAATACAAAAAAAAAACATTGTAAAATTGGTCAATGAGAAAAAGATACCCATTAACCAACTTTTCAAATTTATTTACCATAAATGAATGGAACTTCAATATCACATTTATATATGAACATGAAAACATTGCATAGTGTATGTCATGGGACTTAGATACTGCTCACAACAAAATACTTTTCCAACAAATAACACGATTTGTATCCGCATATCTTACCTTGAAATGAGACCCAACACATATGGTAAAACATGGGGACACAAACTATGTTGGAAAAGGAGAGGGTGCTATGTTGGAAATGAGACCCAGCTCTTATGTCTCAATGACTGTCAACTTCAAATGCTACGTGCAGATTCCAAATACCAAAAGGAGAGGGTGCGTCAAAGCATCGATACTCATTTATAAAAGAAAAGCATCAATACTCGTTTTGTCTTGTAAAGTAATACATTCTACTTTAAACATATGCGTTTGGTTCATGTTATACTAGAGAATGACCTTGTACTAAGTACGAGGCTAGTATTTTTTGATAATTTTTATTTTGTTTAAACAAAAAAATGTCTATAACTTTTTATTATTATTTCTTTATTTCTTAAAGATTATTTTTATTGTAAAATTTAGTTAATTATTATTATTATTAAGTATTTAATTAATGATTTTAATATCATAATAGTTATTATAATTAAATTTTTTACTAAATGTAATATTTACTTAATCATTTAATTAAATATTAATATTATTTTTAATTAGTAATGATGATGATTATTTTCTTATATTTTTATTAATATTTAGTATTTAATTACTGAATGTTGTTGTTATAATAGATTTTCTAATTACACTAAATTTTGATAATTTACATAACTTTAATGCATAATTAGTTTTGAAATTTACTATTTAGTTATAAAAAATTAAATTAAAAAAACTAATTTGGGTCTTACGTCTTTGTAATTGACAATCTGACCTATTTTATTTGAAAGCCACTATTAATTTATGTTCTTTTTTTTAATTTTATTTAAGATATTAAATGAGATCTTATTGGTAAACAATAACCCACTTTATTTGGTATTTACTATTTATCTAATAAATCTATTTTGAGTTATTTATTTTTAAAGTTAAATTAGGTTGTTTCCTAAAAGTTAAATCAAGTTTGTAATTAATATAGTATTTTCTTTTTGAAAAAAAATTATTTAAAAACAAACATGTGTTTATGGAAATCTTTTAATGGGTCCCACCATTTGTATTTAATAAACTATGGATAAACATGTGTTAAGCTAATAAATAACTGTCTATTGAGAATGTTTAGGAGTGAAATTTTCCACTTTTTGAATTCTATTTCTTGAATTAATAGGATTCCACATGTCTGAATGATAGTAGAGGACTATGGGTTTTATTAACAACTTTTCAGAAAATGCCATGTGTCTAGCTTTTTAAAAAAATGAGAATGTCACATGTTTGAATGGTGGGGGACTGTAGTATGATAATGAGTTTGGGGTTTTAATAGGAATTTTTCATAAATTGCCACATGTTTATCTTTCCAAAAAATGAGAAAGCCACTTATATAAATGGTGGTATTGGGTCGTGGGCTTTAACAATAGCTTTTCAAAAAATAACACATGTTTAAATTTCCAGAAAAATGAAAAAACCAAGTATTTGAATGATGGGGGCTGTAGCTTGAAGACCTTCCTTTAATATATATACCAATTCAGATCGATCTATCAACAAAATACGTTTCAACACCTTATCAACTATATCCAACACTACACATCTCACACATGATTGGTCCACTTTTATAAGAGAATGTGCCGTGTCAAACCAAGAGTGGATAGAGTGTTGGAACTTGTTTTGTTGGCAGATAATCCAAATTCGTATTGACCCTTTCCCAAAAACACCATGCATAGTAATATAGTATACGATACCTTACGTTACAATATCATATGTATTGATATTTTGAACTGGAAAATGATAGTCCTGATTTTTACCGAGGTATTTGACCTCCTTATTTGCTAGTTCACCTTTATTCTACATCTCAAAGCAAAACCCGGAAAAGGTAAGAATATGATTAATTTTCCCATGAAATCATTTTCCAACAAAATCATTCGTCGTCTCATTTTACCTCCACCAGAACGCAGTGATGGGTGCATGTGTGGCTTCTAAAGAAATAGATATACAGTTGTAGGCGACATTATTATATATGGATATCCATCTGGACGGGTCTGGCTAGCCCAATTTTAACCCAGCCCGACTGTAAACCAGTAGATCCGAGAACCCGTACTGACCCTAGAGGCTAGAGAAGGGCAGGGTAAAGCATGGATGAATGGGGTTGAGCACTTGAGCTTGGCCTGCTGAAAGAAATGGGCAGGGCAATCGGGTGTACTTCAAACTTGGGCGTGGGTCTTGTAATGAGGATACAGTCAAATGGCACCGACCCGGAGGCCGGAGCCGACCGTGTTGCGCTGAAACCGACCAGACTAGTATTTGGAGGGAACGTAGAGTTAACTTGACTACTTCCTCTATTTCCCATTTTTTGGTCTGTTTTTGAACTTTCCGATTGACTCCTCTCAAAGACTCAACTTCTGAATTCTGATCTACAAAACTTGCTGAGAGAGGGCGAGGGAGGGTGCCGGAGAGCTTTGATATCTCTCGCCATGGCTTCCTCCAATTCTTCAAAGAATTTGGTGTTACCAGTTTCTGATCCTCCGAGGGGCGATGAGAGTCTCTTCAAGGGTTCCGCCATGACCAAGAGGGGGGCCTACGCTGCCATTTCTTACATGACTTGCGCAGGTATGTTCGTTCTCTGTCCTAGTCGTTCTTACCAATTGAGACTTTGGCTCTAGTATTTAGTCCTTATTCATTTTTTGTGTACCATCTTTCTCTGTATCCCTTCTCAAGTCTCCACGTAATTCTCTTGCGAATTTTATCATCGACTTTCTGCTCTCGAATCGTTTCTTCCTTTCTACAGTGCAATTAAGACACTTATCGCCTTTATGAAGGGAATTTAAATCATTTGTATTTTCATCTGGATTATATCATTTTTCTTGTTGATTGGTGGGGCTGCTGCTCCCCCTCCCTCTATCTCTCTACTAAATTTTATATACACTAATTGTCTCGTAGTTCTCAGAATCAACAAAGAAACATAACACGAGGATTTCTAGAATCAATGGAACATAAATAGTAGTTTGGTTTATCTCAGAATGGAGATTGACTTTGGAAATTCCCTTTATCATAGTGCTTCCTTCAATTATTAGAGTTTATGAATTTGGAATTCAATTTCAACTGTTATTCCATAGGTTCATCCGAGAAACAGTTCATATATTGGGTTTTGAGTATGAATTTGGATCCATACTAAGCACCTGTTGTTCCAATAGCCCTATGTCTGATGGAATAGTCAAGCTATTTAATCTTTAGAACTGTAACATGCTGCCGTGTTCTGCGGCTGACGGTTCTTACTCTAGTGGCAGGTAGTCCTTTTTAGGGTGTGGCTTTCGTCCTGCTCCTCCAGGTATCCCTTCCCCAATTCAGGGGTGTCGATTGGACTGGATTTGGTCCAATCCGATCCAGTCCAATGTGAGTCCATTACAAATGGACCAGGTCCAATCCAATCCAATGAATAATTTGGACCACTTTGGACCAGTCCAATTCAATGTTCGGACCATCCAATTTGTTCAAATTCATTTTAATTTAGGTTGGTTTTAACCCAAACCCGGTCCATTGACACCTATATTCTTATCTTATATCAATGGACCGGATATTGGCTTAATCCAACTAAATCCAATATAAATTTATTACGGATGGACCAGGTCCAATCCAATCTAATAAATATTTTGGACCGGCTCGGTCCAATCCACTATGTCTTTTTGGTCCGTCCAATCTGTCCAAATTGATTTTGGACTGGACGGGTCCAGTCCAAAACCAGTCCATTGACACCCTTACCCCAATTAGTTCTTTCCATGATTTGAATCTGGAATGTGGCCTATGGGGTAGGCTCTAAAACCAAATGTTATGTATCCAACCAATATGCTATTATCTCTAGGACTTATGGAACATTTCAAGCCAAGGAATCTAATCTTTAGGATCATAATAGGGTTGTAGCCTAAAAGAACTCCTTGGAAAAGTAGGTATTTAAAACCTTCTTGAAAGAATTTATCATGCTAAATATGATTTGAGTCTTGGAATAACTGGATTATGATTTTTTTTTTAATGTGCAAGTATAACATATAGTAGGTTAGTTGCAAGTTAATGTACATACTGATCTTTTATTCCTGGACCTGCTGGAATTGGGCCTATTTATGGGCAGTACGGTTAATAGATACCTCATTTTTCATTAATATCAAATGCTCCACTGAGGTTAGCATGCTCTTCAAGGCTTAGAGAATTTTCATATTCATGTGATTCATTTTAAGGGGCCATTGGTTTGGTTTAATGATAAAAGTTCAGTATGATAAGCATATGAATACGGGCTAGAGTCCGAGAGTGCCCACTTTGTGCAAAAAAAATGCCAAAGGTTAGGTCCATATCAAGTCTACCCCTTCCAAAGTTCCAATACCCCATATGTCTGGGACCAACAGTGGGTAATGACCCTTTTATGTGATCCACTTTTAATTGTGCAATCCAAAAAATGTCACTACTTGGGCATTAAAGTTCTTTGGAGGCCTGGATCTGTTCAGAAGATAGTAGAATAAGGAGATGGGATCTGGGACCAATAAAAAATCTTCACTGTAAACATTGGCTTGGAGCAGCTCCTTTCCAGAAGAGGAGATTGGGAAATTTCATGCCCAACTAAGGTGGTATCCTTGGTGTGGACAGCAGTGTTAGGTACTTTTTTTTTTTAACTAGAGATCAACTATCAAGAGGAGGCTTGGATCCTCTCATAGAATTGCATTATCTATCAAAATGAGCCTGAATTGGTGGATCATCTACTTCCTTCCGCAAATATAGGGACTTTACATCAAATGGTGTTTCTCCAAAACATTGTGGGAAACCATTGCAAGGTGGATTTCATGTTTGGGAGCAAAAGTATTTGGAATAACACCTTCAAGCCCTTCTCCTGATCATAGCTGTCAAGGTGATGCCCAGGTGGGTGCCTAAGCAATATGCCTAGGCAATAAGACACTTATGGAGGGTTGCCTCACTTAATCACCAAGATATTTTTTACATGATTCTCTTGGATACTTTTATATTTTTAACTTTTGAGATTATAATAATAAAATAGACATCATTAAACTAAACTATTCATCTAAGTTAAAATACTAGTTTCTTTTTGTTATTCTTCTCATTTGTTAGGGTTCATCAACATGCATATTGCCTTGAACCCTTGAAGACTTCAAAACTTGAACTAATAAGCATGGAAGAACTCAAAATTTTATCCGATCAACACATATTGATCTTCTTCTTCTTTTCACCCTTTCTTTTCTTTTCTTCTTTTCCTAGGAAAAAAGTAGAGATTAAACCTTTCTATTTTCTGAAATTAATTTTATTTCTTCCATTTTTTTCATGAATATGTTGATTTTCCATGTTTAAAATGAAGCTTATACATCTTTTATGAAGATCATAGACAATTAATAGGGAAAGATAGTTATTGTTTGCTATGGAACCCAAGGAGTTACCCTAGGATTCATGGTTTTTATTAAAAAAAAATCCATCACCATTTATCAAAAAAAAAAAAAAAATCCATCACCTAGGTGACTAGGCAAAAATTAATAGCGAAAGATGGGCTTTATTATAAAAAAACCCATCACCTTGCCTCACCTCGATGCCTTGAAAAGTATGCCTCTTGGGTCCATTCCCTTACTTTGGCAATCAAGAAATATAAAGATAGCTTAACATGTAGAGCAATGAGTTTGCATGATTACAACACTTTCTTTTGACCCTCCAATAAAACACGACATGCTATCAACTAAATGAAAGACCAGGAAAACCAGATCACCTAGTGAGTGCTTGCCTAGGTGATTTGGTTTCGATGTGTTCACATGGTCATAACATTTACTTACGACTCTCTAATAAAAAACAGAGATGCTATTAATCAAATGAAAAACCAAATTATTCTAATGAGTGCATCCTGTTGTTGTTATCCCAAATGACACACTAACAATCTGCTAACATATGAAAAAATAGAGATTACCTCTAGGGTCTACTAGCTTACTATGACAATTTAGAAATACTAGGACAGCCTAACATGTTGAACAACAACACTTTCATGTGATCTTCCAATGAAACACAAGTATGCTATTAATCAAATGAAAAACCAAATCACTAAATGAGTGCATGCCTAGGTGATTTGGTTTTGATGAGCTCACATGGTCACAACACTTTATTACAACCCTAGAATAAAACACAAACAAGCTAACAATCAAATGAAAAAGGTAATAATAGTTATTATTATTATTATTATTATTATTTCATCCTTTCTTTTCTTTTTTTTTTCTTTTCCTAGGACAAAAATAAAAAAAAATCCATTGCGACCAAGTGACAAGGTGCCCCCTAGTGCCTAGCCTTGCTTCGGTGCCTTGAAAGCTATGCTCCTGATCTATTTATTAAGTTTTTGTTGCAATAATGCTCAACTTTCACCTATCCATATTTCATGCTTTTCTTTTGTTACCAGTTTGCTTTTCTGTGACTTGTTGTTTTATTATTTAAGTAGTAATGGTGGTCTAAGAATTTTCATGACTTGGGTTAACTTTTCCTTATTTTTCAGATTCTCTTCTTGAGCTTTTGTGATTTCTACATTTTTCTCTTTCACATTTATGCCTACTTCTATTTAATTGCTGTCCGCAGTACTCTTGGTGATGTTTAACAAGGCAGCTCTTTCGTCATATAATTTCCCCTGTGCAAATGTCATCACACTGTTTCAGGTAGTTCCCTATTAAGTTAATTTATTGCATAGGATAGCATGCACATTCTATGGTTGTTTTTCCATACTGTTTGGTTCCTTGTGTTACTCAATTTTGTTAAATATTTACTTCATATGAATACATTAGATCATGTAACATTAGTCTTTCTCAAACTTTAGTTTAATTGATTCTATGCTGTCCAAGCCGCCAAGCTGGAGCAACCGATAGAGTGCCAGAAAACTTACTTCCATTAGATAAATGACATTTTAGGTATGAAACAAATGGGGTTTTTAAATGCAATTTTTGCAGGTTCATAAAAACTTATTCACACCCTGCTATAGACCTCTCTAGTTTGGCTGGATAATGTGCCTTCTCATCAGATTTTCTTGGTCTATTCTAAAAAGTGGTGCATTTCAAGGAGATCATGAGGCTTTAATGTGGTGAACAATATGGAATAAGAGCAAAGCCCTCAGCTGCCACTACACTTCACCTTATGGCATCACCCTTTACAACAAGGGGAATGTGATTCTTCTTTTTAGTAATTTTCAGTTCTCATAAAAGGAACTAATGCCTTTGCCAAATTAGAATTTGACTTAGCCACAGGTGTGGTGGAAACAAAAAAATTATCGTCTAGAATCATTTCCAGAAAACATAGAGTTGCACAATCTGTATTATCTGCATGCAACATGTTGTAGATGAATAGTTCTTCAAAATTCAAATAGAAACAGGGAAGTGGATTGCCCGTCTCTTAATAAATTCATTTCAGTTCAGTTGGCAGTGTGTTTAATTTATGTGGTAAGCTTGATTACAAGCATTGTCCCTTTTGGAAGGGTTATCCTTTGAGCTTCCATATCAAGCTGCTTTAAATGGACCTGTAACAATAGTTTCACTAATATATTGTTGTTGGGTTGTTTTAACTTATGATATAATTCCTGGATTTAACAAATTAATCATGAAAAAACTGGTATAGTGCACCCTTGTAGAGTAAAATGTGTAGTTCTTACTTCCTAAATTACCTTCTTAACAATGATGCATAGTAAATTATTGAGGGATAAACATTTTAAGTGATTTTCATCACTTAGGTCACTAAGAGGTGCCATCAAAATTTCCTGTAAATGGGAAAGCAACTTGTAAAATGAGCAAAACAACTTCAAACACCTCAACACTTCCCTCACGCCCCCCCCAAAGAAAAAAGAGAGAACAGAGTTGAGAAGTAGAAAAAAAGGAACCCCTTAGAGACAGTTTAGTTTGGTCAGAGACATTATCACACATGAGTTTTTCTTTAAAAAATGAGAGCTTTGTTAATTGCTAAACAGTTTAGTTTGGTCAGATAAGATTTCAAAGTAGCCCTTGTTTGTATTAATTGAATGAACAACCAATGATTGGAACATTTTCAGAGTTTCCTCTGATAAGTCACTCTCACCTTACCTGCTTTTGGGTAAAGGAGTATCATTAGACACTACAGGAAGTTTTATCTACTTTGTTCTAATTCCTTGTAAATTATAAATATTCTTGATAACCTGAAATGCAATCTGATTTATTATATAGTGTATGTGCATTTAGGGTTAATGATTTAATTATTAACAGTATAACATTTGGGCTTCTGCAGTGCAATTCATTTATGAAGTGGTTTCTTTAGTACCTAGCAACTCTTTTAAATGTTTCCAGATGGTTGTTCTTTGTGAATTTATATAATATTCTTTGTGCTATAGTTGATTTGGTTCTGATTCCACAATTTGACTGCAATTTGGATGTTTTTTATTCTTAACCTATATTTGTTGCAGATAATATGCTCATGTTCATTGCTCTTTGCAATGAGACGTTGGAAGATTATTTCTTTTACAGTTGGTGAACCCTGGCCTCTTACTGATAATTCAGTCATGCTTGTACCATTCAAGACATTAGTTCACACCCTACCTCTCGCATTATCTTACTTGCTTTACATGGTATGCCTTTAACCTTATAAAGCTTAGCTTCCTTTACTGGAGAATTGTAAGGTTCAATTTCTTTTCTGTTGCTGATAATATCTGGCCTCTCTCCTTTCTTGATCTTTAAAAGCTGGCTTCAATGGAGTCTGTACGTGGTGTAAATGTTCCTATGTATACCACCCTCAGGCGGACCACTGTGGTATTTACAATGATAGTGGAATATCTTCTAACAGGGCAGAAATATTCATATTCTGTTGTTGGAAGGTAAACAGCTCCATCTTTTCATTGTTTCTTGTAGAGAATACACTGTTGTTTTATTCTAGAAACTAGACATGCTGATGAATGTGTGCATACATGTCTGACTGTATTACTGGATAGGCATATCTAAGGTGACAAAAAGTATTCAGTCATCCTTGGTTTAAGGATACAGTTCATTTGATACTGTCTTATATTACAAAGAATAAAAAACTAATAGATGAGGTGGATTATGCGAACTACCACCATAAAACCCTTAACTTTTTTTATCAGGTTGATGATTTTCTTAAATGCTTCAATATGAAATTCAACTTTTTAACTGCAAAACTATGGAAAGTATTAGCTTTGGCATATTTTATCCTTTTCATGTTTTTTTAGGTTTTAGAATTCATCACTTTTTTTTGGCCTAAAATTTTATGCTTCTAACTCCACAATGGAAAATTCCAAGAACTTCATCAGTGTGGGATTGATCGTCTTTGGTGCATTTATTGCTGGAGCTCGGGACTTGTCATTTGACTCCTATGGTTACGCTATTGTTTTCATAGCCAACATTACCACAGCTATATACCTTGCGACTATAGCCCGAATTGGTAGTATTTCTGTCTTCTAATGTTTCACTCTCTTTCTGGAGCTTGGACATCATTGATCCATTTGAAGAAGTGGAGCTTCATAACATATTTTATTATTTTCTCAGGGAAAACTAGTGGCCTCAACAGCTTTGGCCTAATGTGGTGCAATGGTAAGATGTGTATCTTAATTATTATCTATATGTGGATGTATGCATGCATGGAACTTTATTATACATATCTGTGCCTAATTGAAAAATAATAAATAGGGTATATGTCAACTCACTCAACTAATGTTTTATTTGCATTTGTTGAAGGAATAATATGCGGACCAGTGTTGCTGTTCTGGACATTTGTTCGGGGTGACTTGGAAATGACAATAAATTTTCCTCATTTGTATTCTATTGGCTTTCAGGTGCATAGCAGTCATAATAAACATGTCTTCCTCGTAGCATTTTGCTTCATTCTTAGGGCAACTTGGAAGTGCTGAAGTTTCATTGCTTTTGTAGAAGTGGTAGAGCTTCATACTATTATACAAATTAATTGGATTTATTTCCTAGCCCNTTATTTGCATATTTATGTATCTCACAAAGAAAAAATATTCCCAATCCTTTTTTTTAATAATTCTACTGTCATGCACGTTTCTTTCCTTTACCAATTAAAGGCATCTTTTTCTTTGTCCCTCACTTTTGTTTTTTAAACCATCCCATGATAGTCCATGATTATCTTGGCCAAAAAAAAAAGAGATAGTCTATGGTTATCTTATGAGGCTGATCAGTAAAATTAGGTATTTGCTTGCTTATATGGTTCTGCACTTATGCATAGAATATGGGAGGAAGTTTATGACTGCAATTTGTTCTTTTCTTAAAGTTAAACAAGTATAACTGAAATTCTAATGGGAAATACTGCATGCAATTTCCTTTTGCAGGTTGTCATGCTTCTTTCATGTATAATGGCTTTCTTTTTGAACTATAGTATATTTTTGAATACAACTCTCAACTCTGCACTCACACAGACAATGTGTGGTAACTTGAAGGTATGCCTACTAACCTTTTATTAATTCCTTGTGCCTTGTGATAAGAAAAAGATGCATTTGATTCTGGTCCATTCTTGGTAGTTGGTACTGCTTATGTTTGTATCAAATGTTTTAGAACCTGGATCAGTGACTGAACATGCCAAGAGGAGGGTTAAGCTGGTTTGGACTGACTTTTATAAAAGAATTTACAGCATTGAAAAGATTTTATTATTTTCTTTATTTTCTTCCTCCTTTCTCTTATTTTCGTGCCATTGCATGGGCTTGGTTGGTTCAATATGAGTTACCTTAGTAAAGTGGGTCTGGTCATCAAATCATCTGGTTCACCATTTCCATCTGGCTTTTAGTAACTCTTGTTGAGGTTTGCCATTTATACAGGTATAATGTTGATGCCATTTTTATTTATGATCTGTTCTTTCTGTTTTTGTTACCATCAGGATCTTTTTACCGTTGGACTTGGTTGGCTATTGTTTGGTGGGCTTCCATTTGATATTGTAAGTGTGAACTTCACTTTACCTTTAATGTTTCTCATGTCCTCAGCACGGTGCTCTGTCTAGTCTGGGTTTTTAGTTTTGCTCACTTGAACCATCTTCTGTTTTCTTGCCAGTTGAATGTTATTGGTCAACTTCTTGGTTTCTTTGGCTCTGGTTTGTATGCCTACAGTAAGCTCAAAGGGAAGTAAGCAACAAGCTGTTATTGAGGAGCTCATTGTCCATTGGAGGTATTTAGTTGGGTTTATGTTGCTGCTGCAGTCATAACCATCTAAATTTTGATGTGTATAATGAGCTTCTAGGGAGTGAGTGCAACGATTTCTACAAAATTGCAGCCATGCTCTTTTTTTTTGGCACAGAAGGATAGCTGCTCTTACTTCACGGGAATTGAGGGCCTGTTTATCTTGAGTCATTGTACTCATCTACAGAGTGGTTAGTGATGAAAGTAGAAACGGTGATAGCGGTGGCCACTTGCTGGGACAATGCATATTACATTTGTAGGTGATTTTTTTTTTATAGATAACATTTGTAGGTGATTTTTTTTTGATAGATAACATTTGTTGGTGATTTTTTTCTTCTCATTTCTTCTTCTTTTTGGGTTTGACAATTTTGAAATTGGAGGAATGCCAGATGCCAAAATATCTAAGCTGACATTTTAACTTAAGCATCATTGGCACAAAATGAGATGATATCTTTTCTTTGTGAGACAACAAAGTTAACATTCTGTTTTGAAGTTCTCAAAATATAATATAAAAGCAGATCTTTGGTGCTCCAGCTTATCTGATTTCATCAAAATGGTCCCATATGGGTCTGTTCCATATGGGATGTTAGTTCCCTTTAATCATGTGGTGATTTCTCTTCAACCGTAAATAAAGTGGTTGATTGGAAAGCTTAATTAAGTCTGAGATATAGGGTCATTCGGTAGAGACAGAGAAGGCTCTCAAGCTGTGCATTGTGAACCTGAGATAAAATTCAACCTAAGAACAGAATTATTTTATGAACCTCCACAAATCCATTCTAGGACCTAGTCAATATGTTCTAGGATTTTTCCTTGCACTGATAAAACTTTAGTCTATATTATTTATTATTAAAAGTTTGGATGGGCACTTGAAACTTTTTTTGGGCTAAAATACTCTTATTTTTGAACTTAGTTCTCTCCAATTGTGAGAATGAAAAATGTAATTTAATTATTACTTTTCACCTTATTCAATTTCCTCATTAAGTCTTATATTTAAGGTATCTGCTCCCGATTTTTCTTATTAAATCCTATGTTTAAGGTATTGTTTTTCACTATTATAACCATGAATGAATTTGTGGTAATTTTCTTCTTGAATAAAAATACTACTATTTTTTATTTTGGTCCTTTAATTGAGATGGCAAAAAATATATTTGAATTGCTATTTTCACCTCATTCAATTTTCTCTCATTAAGTTTTATATTTTAGGTATTAATTCCTATTCTCTCTTATGATGTCCTATATTTAAGGCATTTTTTCCTCACCAAGAAATTATATTAAATAAATCTATATCCAATACTTTTAACAATATAAAACGCCTGTATTTTAAAACCAACTTGAAAATGAAACCATTTTTCAGTCTAGGTGGTAGATAAGAAATTCAACATTTCGGGTCAAATGTGTTAAATCTTGGTCATAATTAAGTAATAAAAGTTAAAAAGATAAAAACACAATCAATTATGTAAAAGTACAAATTTTCTAATATTTTATATTCATCACAATAAATAAAAATAAGCGTGATAAATAGGAATTATTTTAATACACAAATATAAAAAATTGTAAAAAAATTTTGACACACTATCATCATAATCATCTAAAATTGTCACATGCAACCTCTAATTTACTAGTTGATCTAATAACCCACCCAAGTTTATTTGGAGTTTTTTTTTTGTTTTTCCTTTTGTGAAAATTTTCAAGATCTATTCTTTTGGTCTCCTTCAATTTGAATGATTTGATTCAAAAACTAATTCAGTCTAAGCTATTAGCTACCTTAGCACTAGGATAAGTTCTAATTTTTTATTAATAATCATATATTTTCCTTTTTCTTTTTCTTCGGGTAGGTAAAAAAATATTGCGTTTAGAATCCAAAATCTTCATTTACCTAGGTATTCTACGGTAGAAAGGACCTAGCTTTTACTGCAAGGTTCTTGAAAAGTTTTGCTTGCCCAAAGTCTTGTGGCAAACAATGAGCTCGTTTGGCATGTCTTTTCGTGTGGTCTTTTGGTTGTTTACAACCTGAAAAGATCGAAAATCAGTTTATTTTCGTTTGACACGCGGAAGATCTAAACGCCAAAAGGCGGGATGCTGAAGAGATGCAAGAAGCCCATTTTAGGCTGATTTCGGGAAATTCCAAATGAAGCTTCTCGCGTCTTTTGTGTTTTAATCTCGTGCAGAAAGACGTTAAATGATGCATGAAAAGATGCATGTCTGTCAAACGGTCTTCAGACTGTCTAGATTTTATGTCAAAAGCTCAATACGTCTTTTGATTGTTAGAGCTACAAGAAGATCTTTTCAAAAAGACTTGTCAAATAGGCCCTATATTAATGAACTTCTAGTTTTGGATTTGGGTTTGGAAGGCTCATGTGGATGTATAAGAGATTGTATATTTCTATATACATATATTTGTACGCATATTATATAGGAAAACTTTGTTGATAAAGCATGCTTTTTCTTAGATTCTTTTCCACTCTTGTTTGCATAAACTTGTTATATACGGTAAATAGACACATATGCACATACTTTAACGGTTTATCCTTTTTTGTTTTTTCATATACCTTTGAAAATCCATCAATGTTTTAAAAACTGAAGCAGACGTCAAACCATTTTCTTTCCGGTTGATGGGTTAAACGGTTTTTTTAACTTTACTAAGTTAGATTCGTATATATATATATAATGGACCGATTTTGGATTGAATCAATCCGGTCCAAAATATTTATTAGAGTGGATTGGACCTGGTTTATTCGTAACAAATTTATATTGGATTGGGTTGGATTAAGCCAATATATGGTCCATTGGTATAAGATAAGAATATGTGTCAATGAACTGGTTTGGGTTGGAACCAATCTAAATTCAAATAAATTTAAACAGATTGGATGGTCCAAACGTTGAACTGAATTGGTCCAAATCGATTCAAAACATTCATTGGATTGGATTGGACCTAGTCTATTTTATAATGGACTCACATTGGACTGGATTGGATTGGACCAAATCCAGTCCAATTGACACCCGTATATATATAGGATGGTGAGGGAGGAGAATGCGGTGGCCGGCAGTTTTTCCTTTATCTTTCATGCCTGTTTTGCCGATAGATATTGAAAGAGACAGCTGATGGTAGGAAAAAAGAAGATGAAAGTGGCTCATCTTAACGAGAGAAAGCCAGTCATTGCTTACCATGTCGGTTTATTATTGGTCGCCACTTGACATGGTGTTTGAGAGCTGAGAGAGAGAGAGACAGACAAAGGTGGTAATTTTATATTGCAGATCCATTCTGGTGTATGTATTAGACTACAAGTGTGTTAACATTATTGGCTATAGGATCAATCAATAAAGCATTATTGGGATGGGTTTCATCCTTATTCTCCCCTCCTTTCTTTCACAGTTTCATAGTTGTGTTTTTTTTTTCTCAAAATATTTTTTTTTGGATCAGCAAAAATAAAAATTAAATATTGGTCTCATTTGGTTTGAACTATCAACTGGAGAGTGATTATAATGGTTTAAAATTTTAAATGAGGGATTGAATGGGTTTTGACCAAGTTAACGATTTTTTTACTCATTGATGGATTTGGGGTTAGGACTTGATGGTACTTTAATAGAAATGTGAAAAGGTATGAGAAAGGTAGGTTTATATGAAAGGAAAGAATAATTCAGCAAAGTTTATGATATTAACCTTAACCGCATTATGTAACTTTTGGAGAGAATAGTTCAGAAAAGGTTATGATATTAAACAAGTATATTAGAGAATCAACTTGGGTTTATGCTAAGAAGATCAATAGTGGAAACTATCTTTCTTTTGATACAATTGATAGAAAAAGTATAGAGAGAAAAAAAGAGATAATATGGTAAGTCTTGGAAATGAAAGGTGTTCCAAATATATATGTAAACCTAATTAAGGATATATATATGAGGGTTCAACAAGTACTGTTAGAACTTAGAACACCTGTTGAGAGTATCGGGTTTTACGGTTATGACGGGCCTTTACCAATGTTCAGCACTTAACCCTTATTTATTTGCACTAATCATAAGGAATTGATTAAACATATCCATGAGGTCCTATGGTGCTTATTGTTTGCTAGTAACATTGTTTTAATTGATGAAATTAATAAAGGGTTATATGGAAAATTAAGTTTATGAATAAATACCTTAAAAATAAGAGGTTCTAAAATAAGTAAGACTAAAATGGAATTATAGAATATATACTATGTATATTTAATAATAATGGGAGTTCAAATTAGGATACACCTAGGATTGGAGACCAAGAATTAACTCAATGTGGCATGTTTGTGTCTTGGTTCAATAATTCAAAACGAGGGAGAGATTGAAGAGAATGTTGCCCATAGAACAATTGTAAGGCCAGCTATGTTGTATGGAATAGAGTGTTGCATGATCAAAATACTTATCTACAAAATGAGTGTGGCAAAAATGTATATGCTTAAATGGACAAATAGAAAAACTAGAAATGATAGGGTTAGAAATGAAATAGTAAGAAAGCTAGGAATAGCTCTAATAAGCAATAAAATGAGAGAAAGTAGATGTAGATGGTTTAGTTGCATGCATAGAAGACTACCTACAAGTGTATAAATGATTTAAGCACCCATGACAAAAGTGTATAACCAAGTTCTTGGTAGGAACAATTTTATGTTAACAAGCGGTCAGAATGGGACATCTTGCCTAACATAAAAACCTATATATCATAATGAAATGACCAACATTTTAAATACACAAAAAAAGGAAGAAAAATCTGGTTAGGGAGTTGGCTTGATTTCTTTCCAGGTAAAAGATTTATGAAGAGGTTGAGCTTTTACTCATTTTATACTCTTCTTCTACTTAGTAGCTACCCTTTTGTTTTAATGGTAGGAGTAATGGCATTTCAATCCTTCCTGCAAGTTCTCTTCTATCCAGTCTTCAATTTTTTTATAGAGATTCATTTAAATGTCTTATTGTTTTATTCATAGTGCTTTTTTATGCACTTGAAGACATGTTCTTATTTTTTTTTACTTCTTTTGCTTAAGCTAATTCGAGGGCAAAGATAATATCATTCTTTGTGATAATCTCTTGGTTTATCATTGGTAAGGGTTCAAGTTGGGTCAGGTTAGGTTGGATTGAGGTTAACCCTAACCCAACATGATGCTGAACCCCAACTTTAACCCTAATGCAACCTGATGACATCAGGTTGGATTCAGTTTGGCCTAATTTCTTCACTTATTATTTATTTATTTATTTTTTAAATCTTCTCACTTCTTAGACTAGCCTAAGTTGCACCCCTAATTATTGAGGACAATTGCTTGTGTTGAATAATAAGCTGATATTGTTGGTAGTATATAAAGCTTGCATGGGGGAACCAAAAAGAAACGGTTGTGCAGTGCTGATGTTAGGGTTGTCAATGATACCCAATTATCTAACTCTGAATTTGAAACTTAATTCGATTAAATCAGATTTCGATCTTAAAAAAAAATCTGATCTGATTAAGATTGGAATTCAAAATTATTAATGTGTATATTAAGAGCATGAAAAAATTAACCTATTTTTATTGATGAGGCTG